TGAGGGTGTGCTGCTTGCAGCGAGTCTTAGTAATCCCTCTGCTTGGTTCAGCACGTCTGGAAGTACCTAGGGCAAGGTGGTAGCACAGATGTGTCGAGTTCGGCTTTGAGGAAGTGCTGACATCAAAGTCCACCAGGAGCAACAGTGACCAGTGGTGCAATGTTCCCAAGTCTTCCTCCAAACTTCCAGAATGCCATGAAAATGGAAATGAAGCTCTTATGCTCCTTTGGGGCCCCTTCCCATCCCAGGGAGGCCATTGGGCTCAGGATCTGGCTTGGAGCTTAGGTTCCCCAGCCCCACCCATATCTGTGGGATGGGCTCAGCGGTATGCACCAGCCTTTGGTAACAGTTGCCACAGGCTGTTTCCTTGGAGTGATTCTTACATACAGAATGACACTCCTGAGAGTGGCTCAGGGTTTGAAGTCCCCATATGACCAGAACCTTGTATCCTTCGTCATTCAACCCTAACAGGTAAGGTCTGAATCCCCAAATGCCTTCTTCATGTCTTTCCTGAGGACCTAGTTCCCTTTCTGATCACTTCCCTTTGCTTCTTCAGTCTATATGCTGTGCAGAGCCAGTCACCTCGCCCCTTGCTCAGTGTCCTTAGAATAAGAGGACTAGGGCCCCAGCCTACCCAAAACCCACATTTGATGCTCCTAGAACATGGTTTCTCCCACCCCAAAGAAGGCCTCTGTTGGGCTCTGTGTGTGGGCTCAAGATCAGAATTCCTATGAGGCTCAAGCAATTCCAGGTAAATGAAGGAATGCATGAAGCTGAGCCCAGGATAGAATTTTCACAGGGTCTGGACTATGTCAGGTGGGGCCAGGACAGCAGCCTACCCCCTCTGCCTGACACATAGCATGGGTGACACCTCTTACCTGGAAACTGTTATCACACCCCATGCCATCTGGGCCAAGCTCAGGGTAGACAGGCCTGAGGGTAGGGTTGGGCCAGGGGTTCTGAGTAGAACCTTCCAGAGTCCCAGCCAAGGGCCTGAGGACAACTGTGGTAGCTATATGTGAACCAAAACCACAGGGCTGCCTTCTGAGGGATGTAAGGACAATCTGATTTGTTCTTCCCAAATCTCAAGACTACAGTGATGCTCCTGGTACCATGGAGATAGCCTTGCAGTAACTCACGCATAGGAAGGTTGATTCCTTGAATCCCAGCAGGGCAGCTATAAAAGGTAGACACAGCCAGACTGTCTTTAGCATGGGAGACTCACCCATCCTTCCACTCTACCATTTGGACATGAACTAGGGAGGTATTAGGGCTCCTCTGGGCCCTGTCCCTGAAGCACTGTTTGTTGAGGGAAGTGGCAAACCACCAACCAGAGCATTTGTCACCCAAGATTCCCACTCACAGCTGCTGGCCAATCTGACTGTGCCTGGCCATCTCCACTGCTGGTGCTAGAGCCATAGGCTCCACAAGGATGTGTGTCAGTGGTTGGGGTGTGGGGTGTCTCAAGCATAGGGAGGCAAAGGGCTCCCAGGGCAAAGGGCTGCTAGGCCTCTGTGGGGCTAACCTGCATCATCTCTTTGTCTCTAGGTTACCAGTCAGTCTGGACAAACCCTACCCTACCCTTGTGGCTCCTGATAACCCTACACTCCAAGCCACTTTCTGAGACTGTCCCACCCAGGATATGTTCAAGTTGGCTCCCTGCTCACTTTTCCATCCTAGAGTCACTGGAACAGACCCATTGGGAAAGATAGCTCATACCTATACCATGGGTGCCTTAAAAGCATTCTCCCAAACACAGGGAATTATCACTTATAAGAGTACTTACAAGTGATATTGGGGCCACTGGCTCTGCCTAGTCATATGCTAAGGCCTGGCCAGATACTCTTGTCTACCCAGAGAGTAAAGCACAGCTGGGCTAGCAATTGGGTAGGGGATTACACTGTCAGGGGTATTTTCAAGAACATGATGCCTGGGCTGTGATTTGTGTCGTGTATGTACCTTTCCTACATGCAGGTGCTTCTATAGCACAAGCCCAGATTTTTGGTGTGCCAGTCCCCTTGGATAGGGCTTCCCTGTCTTACAGTCAGGACCTCTCCTGTATTTCTGACCCCATTCTCAGTGACCACATCATCTGCAACCTCTGGTAGCCTCAGTAGGTGACCTGCTGCTCTTAGTTACAACTATGAGAACTTCCAAGGGCAAGGGCCAAGCAGTTTAAGACTTGGTTTCCTTAGGGGAGAAGATGTCAAGACTGAACTGTTGGGAGGGATCTGGGGTCCAATATTCAGGCCCCCAGTAACGGGGGTTTGGGAATATCTCACATGTTGGGGGGCAGACGGGCAGATGGACACAACGCCTGATTAGTCTGATCCTCTTGTGGCTCCAAGGGCCCCCAAACCCACCTTCTTCCCATTACTGAAGACTGTTTCTTCCCCACTGGCTGAGCCCACAAACCCTGGCCTACAGGTCTGGAATGGCACCTAGTCCTCGTTTGGATACCTGCCCCCAGCAGAGTCAAGGGGCTCCACAGTGTCTGCCTGAGCCCCACCATGTCCTGAGCCAGGAATCTAGAGCAGCTTTGATGTGAAAAATCCCTGCACTTATTCAGGCTGCTCATTATTTTTTTAAAAGAGCCGAACACTAAAAATAGCAATGCATAACAAATGGGAGTCATAATCCTCTGAAAACAGAGGGAGTGACAGAACGGGACTTGTAGCTTTCAGGGCAGGAAAAGGAGGTAGGGGTGAAGCATCATCTGTGGGGCAAGGGTGGGTGGTGACCCTGCCTCATTGACAGGTTCTGGGCCTGTGTTTGGATAGGCCGAGCGGCAAGGGCCCAGGTGCCGCGGTCAGGACTCTGAGCACCAACTGAAGTAGCTACAGAACCAGGGCCACCACGGGTATTCAGGGCAGGGATGGCAAACTCCTATCTTCCCAAACTTCAGTCAGGCCTTCTTGGCACCCACACTGGTAGTGATGCCTACGATGCCCAGCATCATTCTCCTGGGTCTGCTACTTGCCCTAGGGCCTGGCCTCCACCTTTCCTGTCCCACCTGCAATGACCACAGGTCAGAGGGTGACATCATCCTCTGCAGCAGATTCACGAAGAGATTCACGAAGGTGACATGACAGACCTGAGACAGGGCAGCTCATGGAGACGAGACAATCCCCATAGTGAGCATGCTCTTTGACATCATCCATGTTTACTCAGTGGGGTGTGCTCTCCCTGGCCACTATGTCTAACCCGTGACCATTCCCAGGCCACTAGACTGGCAGAGAGTAGTCCCTCCTCAGGCCCCTACCCTGAGAGGCCAGACCCTACAGTCGGCATCGACCAGCAGCCACCTTACCACCTCTTGTCTGTTCTTGCTTCGTCAGCCCAGCCCTACATGTGCTCCCCGCCCCTTGCAAATCAATAGCAGTGCGTAGGTCTGGGAGCAGGTGGGTCTGAGGTGCCAGGCCAAATGTGCCTAAGACAACATGTAACCCAGGGCCTGCCAAATTCTCTTCCATACTCATCTGCTACTGAAATCAAGGGGCCGTTGCCTTCCTTGATGATTCAAGATAAAGGTCACACAGAGAGGTAGCAAGTGGCCTGTCAGTGAGATGACTCCTCAGGTCCCTGAGGGAGTCAGATCTGGCTGTAATCAGTCACCATTCAGAAGTTGTAGTCTAGGGGCTGGAGAGGCAGCTCAGCAGTTAACAGCACTGACTGCTCTTGCAGAGGACCCAGGCTCGATTCCCAGCACCCACATGGCAGCTACAAACTGTCCTTGACTCCAGTTCCAGGGGAATCCAAAGCCCTCTTCTGACCTCCACGGCACTGCACAACATGGGTGCACTTACCTACATGCAGGCAATACACACATACACATAAAATAAAAATTAAAAAAAAGATATACACACACAAAAAAAAGTTGCAGTCTGAAAGCCCTGTGTGAAGTCTATACACCCACGGCAGCTGAAGAAACTGTTATGAATTCCCTGGTAAGTGCAGAGTCTTGCCCTGGTCCTGCCCAGATCCAGGACATGGGGCAGAGGGACCTCAGCCTTGAAGGCAGAAGGGGAATACATGGACTCTGAGCTCAGTGTCTATACAGATTCGGCTTGACACAACTGCATTCGTGGCGCAGTGCAGTCATCATGACTGCCCAAGTGACCCTGGCTGGCTTTCCCTACACATTTTGCCAAGAAACTATAAACAACAAACCATCAGTGTTATGCAATCAGTTTGCAATCAGACCCTGGCAATAGCAATGTACCCAAATCCGACATTCACTAAGAAACATGAAGGACATTTGACTTGGAGTCAGTTTTGTTTTTCCTAACCAGTAATATATTCTGGGGGTCTGTAGGTCTTGCTACCTCCAACAGCAGCACTGCAGTTCCAGCTGCCGACCTGCCTGCCTCTGACCTCCCAGTACCCTGGGGCCATTCCTTAGACATTTGGCTTCCCAGCACTCTGAGGCCAGTCCTCAAGATACTGAGCTGGGTTGTTCTGAAACAGTGCCCCACACACTGCACTGTGATCGTGGACAGCCAGTCCAGAGTGCATCATCAAGGCATCTGCCTGACAGCTATGTCTTGGCTGCAGTGACAGGTTCCAACACTCTGCTCACACTCACCTTAGCCTTTTTGCTGCAAGTGACTTGCCCTAGAGTCTCCGATCTAGGCAGCAAAACAGCTGTCTGAGAGCAACACGACCCAACTTTGCAACCTCTGGCGCATGGAAGGGTCCTGGCACCCCCAAGGATTGTAGCTGAGCCAAGCGAGGAGCAGCAGCATGGGGGAAGGCTATGTAAGGTCCAGCCCCAGGAGAGAGTCAATGCCACGTCCCAGGCTACTTTCTAGCCTGTCTCAAAAACCTTCCTTTAGCAACGTGCTCAAGTGTGAAGATGGTGTCAATGCTGCCCACAGTGGTCTTTGCAATCAATTGCAAGTCAACTTCAAGATCCTACAATCCATAACGGGTAAGAAACTGAGGAACAAACAGGTTACTAGGTGCCAGGTGAGGAGTGGTATCCAAGCTAGAGACCATAACAGTCATCAGAAAATAGTTTAATTATGTACAGATGATTGGCAGACTGATCACAGAGTGGGATATGGACACACACCCAGATTTGGAAAAATGACACTAGCAGTGCCAGCGACAGGTGCCACTCAAGAGGTGACAGCCACCAGACACCACGTAAATCACAAACTGACAGCTGTGGAAGAGGCATAAGTCAATTATTTTTCCTCTGGGACAAGGAAAAGAAAAACAAAACAACAAAACATCAAAGCTGTGGAATGATTTCTCGCCCAGCCATGGATTGGCAATTGTCCAACATGAATGAAGGGATGACTGGGCATAGATGGTCCAGGCCCTTGGGGCCATGTCACTTGTCACACCTCTTATGGACTTGTAGGTACCTCACGATCAGGCCGGTAGCGTTTGGGCTCGTGCAGCCACGGCCATCACAGGCCTCAGAAGAGCGGCCGAGAGCCTTGGTTCTCAAACTCAGACCATGCATCATTCAGCTCCATGAAGATCATCTTGGCATACTGTTCATATGGCTGCCCTGTGGCCTGTGGGCAATGGGGTAAGAGCCAGCCTGATCATCCTGCCTGCATTCCCACCAGCATCACGTGACACCACCAGCAGGCAAAAGGCCCCTAGTGGATAGGGCAGGCAGGGCCAACCCAACCACCAGCATGGGGCCTAGAAACTCCAGGCCTGGCGGCCTCTGGGCTGCCCCTCCATACACTTACCTTGTCGGGATGCACAACCAATACGGCCCGGCGATACTGCTTCTTCACCTGCTCTGGAGTGACCAGGTCAGCCATACTTAGGGGTGTCCAGCGGCTCTCCCCATCCCATAGCACCGTATGCAATGTGGACAGTAGTGCACGTATGTTCCTCTCCTTGCCTTCAATCCAGTCCAGAAGCTGCAGAGACACCAATGTACACTGAACCTGAGACACAGGAAGGATCTGTAATTTGGGAGTCCTCTTCCCCGCTATGCTGGGGTGTGTATGGTGGGTGGTAGGAATTGAGATGAGCAGCACAGGAAGTGCTGAGGGAGGTTCAGGTGCTGGAGGGAAAATACAGGTCACCTCAATGGTCCTGGTTCTCATGAGAAGCTGCCACCTGCAGGCCTGTGAAGCAAGCTTCTATACAGGCCCCTTGAAGACAGTTTGTGACTCTCTGCTTTCCCCTACTGAAGTCCAAGGCAGCCATGGCCCTACCTCCTGCCCCTCCACCCAGATGGACCCCAACAAGCCCTTGCCATTCCAGCACTGGGCCCACCCCAGGCCACATAGACCAGGCAGCTCAAGCCTCAGCACCCTGTGGATAGAAGGTACCATAGACAAAACTGAGAGGCCCATCTCAGCCAAATACAAAGACAAAACCCTAATCTCTGAGCACAGCTTCCCATCCTAGGCACGGGTGCAAAGTCCAGAGGGAACAAGCAGGTCCCTGGAGACCTGCCAGGTAGACCCCTAAGGGCATGGCTACACAGTGATCCAAAGAGATGACACAAACTTACAAATAGAGACACATCTAAGTTCCACAGTGGGACAGCTTGACCACTACGCCATGCTGACATCCCTCTCATTCCACAGTGATCTCCACGTGTCAGGACTAAAACCCAAGCAAATTGCTGTCCTTGTCAGATTCAGATGAAACTTTCTTGGTTCTGATGGGTACAGAGTCTGAGCCATGCCCTTCTTCCCATTCAAGGCAAAGGTCAGGCATATCCAGAGCATCAGAAGCACTGTGTGGTGCCTGCATCCCTTCCTGATCCCCAGTGCCATAAGGAGCACTTTCAGATGCAAACACTAAGCGCAGTGCCAGTTGCTCAGTACAGCTACATGGAGGTCTGGTGCTGCCCTGTCCCAGGGGCCTCTAGGGTGTCAGGTCCATCCACATCGACAGTCTCTGTCTGGAGACATTAGTCTGCACAGAGTGTGCCTTGGGGTGCCCACCTTCAACTTGAGCGGGTCTGTATCTCTGGCAAGGTCCTGCTTCCGCATCTCTGCCATGGTCTTTGGCCCCTTCTTGTCAGACTTGGAGAAGCCTTGATTAGGCAGTAGATCTTCAAAATCATTCTCTGAGACCTTTGGCTTTTGGGCTGGGGAAGAATAAATACTTTTTATAGAGACACTGGCCCTTTTTGCTCTACCCAGTTACAAACCTGCTTCCTAGGTATGACCTCTGCCTGATACCTGGACAAGAAAGAAGGAAAACATGGCCTCAGGGCCACCTGTTAAAGGCCATTGAGACTGCAGGAAGGCCTTGAGAAGACCAGCAGACATCCCAGCCTTGGGGGGCAGGGATGGGGCAGCCTTGGTAAGCAACATACAGCTGATGTGGCTGGACTCTGAGGGGAGGAACCAGAAGGTAGATGTAGGACTCACCAAAGCTGGGTGCACGGATGCCCCTCTCCTCTCGGCCCCCAATCACACTGAAGTGAGGCCTTGGCTGTGCAGAGGCTCTCGGTGCTGGCTTGGCCTGGGGGGTCCATGAGGTTCCCGGGGCTGTGGCACGACTTGTCTGCCAGGTGTTGCTGCCTTTGGGAGTGGTGGCTGATGTGGGAACGAAGCCCCCTGCAGGAAGTACAGCAGGTGGGCCTAAAGAGACAGATCACAGGGCACTTGCAACCACTCAGCCAAATGAGTAGCTGCTGCTTCTGGGGCTGAGGATGCTATATTGCTGGGACATACACTCACAAACAAAACTGGTTGTCAATCAGTAGGCCTTCTATTTAATAGGTACCAAGGACTTGAACAGCCAGGGACACACAAATGCTATGTTGCCCAAGCACATTCTGGACCAAGTCTTTATATGTAGGACACCCTACATCAAAATTCATAAGGGCCTAGTGTCCTCATCTGCAGAGTGGTCTGAGAGCCACTGCCTCACAAAACCTCTGAAATGTATGGCTCATTCTTTAATTTTTTTGTGAACTGGAATCAAAGAAGCTACAAAAATAAGTCCAGAGCACTTTCACACTCTGTCCCTAGCCTGATGTCCCTCTGTGATGGCTGATGTTGTCAACTTGACAGAACCTAGAATCACCTGGGAGATAAGCCTCTGGACATACCTAAAGGGGGTGAGCGGAGGGCCTCTGATTACACTAATTGATGAGGGAAGACCCATCTTAATTGAGGGTGGGTCCAATTCCTTGAGATTGGGATCCTGGGCTGTACGGAATAGAGAAGGTAATCTGAGCACTAGCAAGCATTCTTGTTTCCTGATTGTAGATGCAATGTGACCAGATGGTTGAAGTTCCTGCTGTCCTGACTTCCTTGCCATGATGGACTGTACCATGAACTGTGAGGCTTAAACCCTTTCTTCCTCATGTTGCTTTTGTCAGTTTTATCGTAGCAACAGGAAAAGAAACTAAGATCGGCCCCTAACAACCTTAGTGAACCATGAGATGGTCAGTGACCTCAGCCTGTTTAGAAGTGCATACACAGTATGAGTTTGACTGACCACATGGACATTCCCACATGGACCACAGCTTTAGGTATCATCTATCCTTCCACAGTTTTGTTGTGCCAAGAATATTCTAGAAATGGAGCCAACAGTGGGTGATCTGTGCAACTGCTCTTCCCACCCAGGATGATGCCCATTTGGGCTGTTCCTTTTTATTGCCAAGGAACATTTCATGGTCTGGAAGAGACCACTGTCTGCTCAACTTTCATCCACAGACGGACATCTGTACAAAGTCTATTGTCTGGCTATTACAAACGACTCTTCTATGAACACTTGTTTGAGTATTTATGCTTTTTGTACAAATGTAAGCTCTTCTGTCTGGGATAAACTCCGGAGTTCCATGATGTCTGTATTGTTTACTTTTATAAGAAACTGACCAAGAGTAGTCAGTTCACATCCCTGCTGATGTGGAAGAAACCCAGTTTCTGATTCTTAGTGCTATGTGCAGTGCATGCCTGCTACCTACATCTTCCAGGAGCTGGTGATGCAACACCATCTCATATGCCTATTAGCATTCGAGCATCACTGATGATAGAACCCCTTCATGTTTCTTCCCATTTCTTCACTGGATTGCCTTCTGTCTTGTTTTCTTTTACTACAATTAAATGTTCTAGGATAGGAGTCCTTTGTCAAATTATTTTGAAAATGCTTCCTCTCCACATTTTGCTGTCTTCCCACAGTTGGAGGCCTCAGATCTATGCCCACTTGCTAGCGATGTAGCTCTGCCTTACAATCTGCTTATAATGGACTGTAAGGACCAACGTACAGTGGCGGCTCATTTTCTTGCCTGTGTGTCTCCAGTGGCTCCCAGCTCCATCTGCTCAAGCCTTTGTACTTGTCTTCCTTGTGTGGGTCTATGTCTGGGTCCTCTCTTCTATGGATGGGTGTCTGGCCCTTTGCCAACACCACAGTTTTGGTTTCTGCAGCCAGAGAGTGTGCCTCAAAGCTAGGGTAGAGCTTCTCCCACATTCTTCTGTTACAACAAGCACCAACCATTCCAGCCCTGCCTTTCCAAATAAACGTGACAATGAGCTCAGCTATTTTACACAAATCCTTGCTGAAACTTTGGTAGGAAGAACATTAAACTTATAGTAGATCAATCAGCAGAAGGCAAAGGGGCACCCATGCTCTGCAAACACATGACATCTCTGTCAATGTCAACTTCTGCTGCTTCTGCCATGTTTATACTGTGGTTCTATCACCCAGTCACTGTGTATTTCCTGAAGTTTTACAGTTTAAAGAGCCTTTTCTGTTGTTTTGAAACATGGTCTCATGTAACTCAGGCCTTGCTATGTTGCTGAGATTGGCCTTGAACTCCTAATCTTCCTGTCTTAGCTTCCTGTTAGGATTATAAGTATGAGTCACTACACCTGGCTTAAAAGCTTCTTTTCAAAGTGATTATAAATGGTGCTGTTTTTCATTTTAGTCTCCTTGGGCTGTTCTTAGTAAACCAAACCACAACAAACTTTTTTTTGTGTCAATTTTAGGTCTTGCTACTTTACTGAGTACACAGTTCTTACAGGCTTATAGAGTCCCTCAGATCTAATAAACAATTGCACCATCTAGAAACACGAGCAATTTAGTTTTTTCCCTTCTACCATGTGTAATTTCCACTGCCTTTTCTTGCCTGAAGTTGAAAGCCGGTCTCCCAGTAAGTGGAATGTCACAGGGACATCTGCCTTGTTCCTGGCTTCAAAGGACTTAGGTCCTTCCCAGTTCGCCACAACATCAGCTCTGGTTTCTATGTCTGCTCTGCTGACAGCCCCTCCTCATTTGCTGACAACATGTCAGCTGCCCTTTCAGCAGCACTGGTAAGAAAACATCGTTGGTCTCTGGCCGATGAACACGGTAGATGTCACTCATTGAATTTGGAAAAGTGAATCAATCTTGCACTTCTGGAATTAGTCCCACTGGATGGTGGCCGTCACCTTTTCATGCACTGACAAACTGTGTGCCCTCATGTTTGTGTGCGTGTCCATGTTTGTCCTTGAGGAGACTGGCTTGGAGGTCTGACTTGGCACTTGCACTTTGTAAAGTCAGTTCCTTTTCTTCCAGTTTTCTTGTATTAAAAATATTTTATGTACTGTTTATAGCCGGGCGTGGTGGTGCACGCATGTAGTCCCAGCACTTGGGAGACAGAGGCAGGGGGATCTCCGTGAGTTCAAGGCCAGCCTGGTCTACATAGAGAGTTCCAGGACAGCTGGGGCTACAGGGAGACCCTACTTCAAAAAGACAGAAAAAAAAAATTATGTACTGTTTATGAACACTGACTGTTCTTGCAGAAGACCCAGGTTAGAATCCCAGCACCCACATGGCAACTAACAACTGTCCGTAACTCTAGTTCCGGGGGATCCGATAGCTTCTTCTGTTCTCCATGGGCATTGCACGACACAGGTGCACTTAGCTACATGAAGGCATAACGCTCATACACATAAAATAAAAATACATAAAATATTTTTAAAAATTTTAATGTATTATTTTATATATATAAAAATATTTTATGTATTATTTTTGTTTTATGTATATCAGTGTATTACCTGCATGTAAGTAAGTGCACCTGTGTTGTGCAATGCAGGTGCTAGGAATCAAACCCAGGTCCTCTGCAAAAGCAGCCAGTGCTCTTAACCACTGAGCCACTCTCCAGTCCTAGCTTTCTAGGAGACTGTGTAGAATTGGTAATCTCGAAACATTTGGTAAAATTCTCCAGTGAACCCCTTTCTCTGAGGAGTTTATCATGAATTCATTCTTCACAGTAACAAATCATCTATATTAGTTATGATTAGTTGCTGTGATGAAACACTATGACCAAGGCAACTTACAGAAGGAAGAGTTTATTTGGCTTCCAGTTCCAGAGGGATGAGAGTCCATCATGGTAGGGAGGCGTGCTGACAGAGGTGGAGGGAGCAAAAGCTGAGGGCTCACATTGTCCAGCAGGGACAGGAAGCAGAGACAAACTCTAAATGGGACGTGGCTATGAACTCTCAAAGCCCACTTCCAGTGACATGCTTCCTTTAGCAAGGCCACACCTCCTAAATCTCCCCGAATAGCATCACCAATTGACCAAGTGTTCAAATACGTGAGCCTCTGGGGGACACCTCTCACTCATACCACCACATCATCCAAGCACTGTGCTTGATGCTGGGAGTGTGGCAGTAGCTGCCTGTGAGACACTTGCCTGTCTTGATGCTGCCAACTTCCTAGAACTTGCCTTTATTCCATCACCACCTTCCAGACATTCTCGATGTCTCCTGATCATTCCTGACACTATTGACTTGGTCAGTCATAGTGGAGGTCTATCAATTTTACCAATGTTTTCAAAGAAAGAGTTTTTCATTTCATTAATTTTGTTGTCTCATGTAGTCCAGGCTGGCCTCTAACTCCCTTAAGTAGCCAAAGACAAATTTGAACTTCTCTGATCTTCTTACCTCTACTTCCAAGTGTTGATATCACAGATATGTGCCATTACATCTGGTTTATTTGGTCCTAGAGTTTTGCTTTTTTTTTTAAAAGATCTTTTTAAAATTTTTATTATTTTTATTTTATGTGTATGAATGTTATGCCTGCATGTAGGTAAGTGCACCATGTCGTGCAATGCGTGTGGAGGACAGAAGAGGCTGTCGGATCCCCTGGAACTGGAGTTATGGACAGTTGTTAGCTATCGTGTGGAGGCTGGGATTTGAACATGGGTCTTCTGCAAGAACAGTCAGTGTTCTTAACCGCTGAGCCATCTCTCCAGCCCCGGTGCTAGAGTTTTGATACAGGGCTTATACATGCTAGGCAAGTACTATGCCAACCAAGATACATCCCTAGTTCCTATTTCATTTATTTAAAAAAAAAAAAATTCTTCCTTCTTTATGCTTGCTTTGGATTTTGCTCTTCCTTTTCACATTAAAAAAAATTATTTATATTTTATGTGGAAGTTTTATTTACATGTATATACATGTACTCTGTGTACACAGTGCCTGCAGAGGCCAAAAGAGGGCATCGGATGACCTGGAACTGAAGTTACGGATGGCTGTCAGCCACCATGTGGGTGCTGGGAACTAAACCCAGGTCCTCTGGAAGAACAGGAAGTGCTCTTAACTGCTGAGTCATCTCTCCAGTGCCAATGCTCTTCTTTTTCAAGCTCCTGAGGTACCACTTACTGGCTGATGACACTGTTCATCTTTTCTAAAGCAGATAAATGCTGAATGTCCTCGAATACTCTTCAGCAGTGTGTCCTAGGTCCCTCTGTGATACAATGAGTTTCACTAAGTTCAGTACACTGCTGTTTCCTGGGCCTCCCCTCGGACACATGTGCCATTTAAAGTGCTATTTTCCTCTGTATTCTCACCATTACTGATTTTCAGTTCGATTTTTCTGATGGCCAGAGCATACTGTGATTTCAATTCTTTTGTCCTGGTAGAGGTTCAAGATTGTATGCAAGGAATCTGCACTCTGTACTACCAAGGACAGCCAAGGACAACCAAGTAGCCCTCTTGGTGAGGGCTTAGGCTTGCTGAGTTCTCAGGCTGGCTTTCTTTTAGGAATGCTATTTTCCCAGTGTCCAGAGACAAGGTAACCTGATTCTGAGAGATCCCTTTACCTCTCAGGAGACACACACTTTCCCTAAGGAGATGCCTACAGCCCCACCTTGTGGCTCAGGACACTTGCCCCAAGTCCACACAAGGACAGGAACAACAAAAGCAAAACCCCCTAGGGAAATCCCAGAAATACAGAGAAATCTGGTGGGGGGGGATGAAAAAACAATACTTAACACACCAGAGCTAGGCATGGTAGCGTGTGCCTTTAATCCCAGTATCTGGGAGGTAGAGATAGGCAGATTCTGTGAGTTTAAGGCCAGCTTGATCTACATAGTGAGTTCCAGGTCAGCTAGGGCTAGATAGTAAGATCCTATCTCAAAAAAAAAAAAAAAAAAAAAAAAAACAAATACCCAAAAAAGAAGAAAACACAATGGAAAAAAAGGACACCACTAGCAAGCCTTACAAAAAAAAAAGGGTGGCAACTAAGGGGAGGGGAACACCAAAGGCACGCTAGAGGACAA